TCCTTTGCTGGTTCATGGGCCACTTATAAACCCAGTGTCTGGTCCTATTACCCCAGGTGCCTCCCTCTCAACAGCCTTTTCAATCTCCCAGAATGAGTCAGCCATCTGTTTTATGATCATGGGATCCTGAACTTTGCTCTATGGTGCTTATCACAGTTTGTAATTAGATACATTTTTGTATGATTATTTTATTTATATTTATCTTTTCTATTATACTGTGCTAAGAAACTGGGCTCTGGAGTCAGATGGCCAAGATTCAAATCTCAATCACATACATGGACTAGTTGGATGGGCAAGTAATTTAGTCACACTGAGACACAAACTGAGACACAGTTTTCTTATCTGTTAAAGTAGTATTCACTTCATCTAATTTTTGTGAGGCTGATACTATGTAAAGGGTCTAAAGACTGGTGCCTGGCATTCAATTAACCTGAAAATCATTGTGAATATATTCAAGTAGAAAATATATATTTAAAAATATATAGCCAAAATAACCCAGAGCTAACCTGTTTCTTTCCACCTACTCTTCCCTCCCTCCACTGCCACTCAGGCTCACTGTGTTATGTATTAGGCACATATCTTTTTTTACCTATATTATACCCAACTGCAAAAACCATTATCTTACTGAATTTACCAACTTGTAGAATTTTTTTAATGGAAATGATCTAAAATGTTATAAGAATTTCCACCATTAATTTTTCCCTACAGGACAGAAGCCCCTTTGTTGTTTTGGGGTAATACCCAGTGAGTAAAAGGCACTGAACTTTCTAGTTATGTTACTCCATAACAAACCACCTCTCAACATAGTGTCTTAAACCAACCATTTACTATGATTTATTATGGCCTGGTGGGTAAATTGGGCTCCTCTGAATAGTTCTTGTTTGTTTCTGTCATAGTATTGCAGGCAAAGAGAGCAGGGTGCTAAAGTCATCTGTTAGCTTCACTGTGCTGGATGTAAAATGTGATTTCTTCACTCACATGTTTAGGTGGAATACAGTGGATGGAACAATAGCTGAGGACTGGCTGGATTTCTCTCTCTTTCTTTGCCTCTCTCTCTCTCTCTCTCTTCTCTCCATAGTGTTCTCCATGTGGTAGCTTGGCTTTTTAATAGTATGGGGATTTCAGTGTGTTCACACTTCTTACATGATGGCTGGCTTTCCCAGAATGAGACCTAGGTAGAAACTACAACACTTCTTATCTTGGCTCAGGAGTCACACAGTGTCACTTCTGCTGCACTCTGCTAGTCAAAAGCAAGTCACACAGGACCAAGCCAGATTCAAGTGGAGGGGAATACACAAGAGTATGAATTCTGAGAGGCATGGTTCATTGTAGGGTCGTCTTTGAGGACTAATGACCAAAGTAAGCCTATACACATATACAATAAAACCACAAAGACTCTGCCTTTAAGAAACTTATAGGATAGTACAGGGCAGAGGTTTTTAACTTTTGCACTACTGACTCTTTTTATCAAATACACTTTATTTTTAGAATAGTTTTAGATTTATAAAAACATTGCAAACATATGCAGTTCATATATACCCTACACCCAGTTTCCTTTATTATTAACATCTTACATTAATATGGTACATTTGTTACAATTAAAGGACCAATCAATTGGTATATTATTATTAACACATTCTATGCTTTATTCAGATTACCTTAGTTTTTACCTAAATTCCTTTTTCTGTTCAAGGGTCCCATATATTACATTTGGTGTTCATATCTCCTTAGACTCCTTTTGGCTATAATTTCTCACACTTTGTTTTTGATGGCCTTAACAGGTTTTGTTTTTTTTTTTTTTAAGAGATGGAGTCTTGCTCTGTCACCAGGCTGGAGTGCAGCACTGCGATCACTGCTTACTGCAGCCTCGACCTCCTGGTCTCAAGTGATTTTCCCATCTCAGCCTCCCAAGTACCTAAGATAGCAGGTGTGGGCAACCACACCTCACTAACTTTTATGTTTTTCATAGAGACACAGTTTTGCCGTGTTGCCCAGGCCAGTCCTGAACTCCTGGGCTCAAGTGATCCTTCTGCCTCAGCCTCCCAAAGTGCTGGGATTACAGGCATGAAGCACCACACCTGGCTCCTTGGCAGTTCTGAGAAGTCCTGGTCAGATGTTTTATCAAATACCCCTCTATTGGAATTTGTCTGACGTTTTTCTCATGATTAGATTGGGTTTAGGGCACATGTAGTATCAACATGACTTACCCATGTAACTTCTGATCACCTGGCTGAGGTAATGTTTGCCAGGTTTCTTCTGTAAAGTTACTCCCCCATGCAACTCCCCTCCCACCTTCTACTGTGGAAGTTAGTAATCAGCCCACACTAAGGAATGGAGAATTATGCTCCCTCTCCTTGAGGGAGGTTATTTATATAAATCATTTGGAATTATTTGGCAAGGAAAATTTGTTTCTTCTCTGCTGATTGGTTATTTTTCAGTAATTTATTTATATTAGTATAGACTCATGGATATTTATATTATACTTTGAGTTGTAAGCCAATATAATGTTGTGCATTTTGTTGTTTAAATAGTTCTAGCTTTAGACATTAGGAGGCCTTTCCGATGGTTCCTGTGTCCCTTTGACATACCCCTAACAATGTGGGTTTTATTTTGTTTTCTGAGCACTTCCGTTTTTCTAGCACTACAAGATGCTCCAAGCCCATTTTGTATATTTTATGCTCCAGTCTTAGAGTCAGCCTTTCGTCTAAGGACCCCCAAGTTCGTTTATTAGAAGCCAAAATCTGTAGGGTGTTTAGCAGCATCTTTGACCTCTGCTTATTACATGCCAATGGCAACCTTCCTCCATTTATCAATGATGTCTCCAGACTTTGTCAAATGTCTCCTGGAGAGCAAAATGGCCCCAAGTTGAGAACCACTGCTACAGAGATAGACCTGTTGAAAATCACATTAAGATAATATAATGGAGAGCAGTGAGAGCATTCCAGAAGAAGCCTCTGAACCTGTCAGCAGATATGGCTGAAGGTTTCAGAGGAGGTTTGCCAGAGGAGGTGCCATTTGAACTGAGAACTGATTTGTAATTCCAGTTTTATTGAGCAATTGTCACAAGCCAGACATAGGTAATGTTTCACTTTCATTATTTCATTACCAGCCTTAAAAAGCAAGTATTATTGTCACTTTACAGCTGAAGAAACTAAGGTTCAAAGGGACAAAGTAACTTACTTAAGGTGTTTGAGCTGGTCTGAAGGACCCAGCTGTGCATGTGCATGGAAAGTTTTCAAGGGTACTGACATGTGCCTATACTGCTTGAGTCAAGACTATCTCAACTACTTCCGTTGTTTATAGACATGCAATACCACTTGTTGTTGTTGAGACGAGTCTCGCTCTGTCACCCAGGCTGGAGTGTAGTGGCATGATCTTGGCTCACTGCAACCTCCTCCTCCTCCTGGGTTCAAGCGATTCTTCTGCCCCAGCCTCCCGAGTAGGTGGGACTACAGGCACATGCCACCACGCCTGGCTAATTTTTTTGTATTTTCAGTAGAGACGGGGTTTCACGATCTTGATCTCCTGACCTCATGATTCACCCACCTTGTCCTCCCAAAGCGCTGGGATTATAGGTGTAAGCCACTGTGCCTGGCCAATATAACTTCATTTTTAATTTATTTTTCCCATTGAACTCTGGCTTATTCAGAGCAGGAACCATGCAGTGTTCATCTTATGTTGGCTTCTAGTACAATGTTTGCAATGTGATAGGTGTTCAATAAATGTTTGATAAGTGAATTAACATTGCTCTATGTCATCAAATTTACCACTCACAGCTTATGGAATTAATTCACAATTCCTTCCAGTCAGATCACTATCCTGGCAGCAGCTCTGGTAGAGTACTCATTGCTGGACACACTAGCCAACCTCCAGGAGTCTTTTAGTCATTCTGCCTCATTGTTTTACTCTCAGCATCCCATAAGGCATAGTTGGCTGGTATCATGACTTCCTCAAATGTTTATGGTATGTGATCATAGTATGTTGCCATGGGTTAGAGTTGCAAAACAGGAATTCTCTAAGGGAAGGAAAAATATGGTACATCTCTAATATTAACATGTCAGAATGTATTGTTACTAGTTTCCACATGTAATGCCAATTATGTGTATATGTATTATATATATACAATATATATAGTGTGTATATATATAATATACATAGATTCTTTTAAAAATTCCTTTATCTTGATTGTTGTAGCATTTAAGAGGAAATTTTATGCAGATCATGAAAGATATTTTTTCCTTTCTTTAAATTCCTTTCCATTCTCATCCTAATTGCCTTTTATTTAATTTATTAATTTTTGGTGGTGAGGATGGAGTCTTTCTCTTTGTTTATTAAACAAAACAAGGGAAGAAATGTCCTTTTTTTGTTCCTTTTCTTTTTTCTACAACTTTTGGATCTGCTATTTGCAGTTGCTCTGAAATTTTTGTCTATTGAATTAGAAGTTGCTCTCTGGTTTCAAGACTCTTCCTTCCTTTCCTTTGCTAAAATTTGGTCTAATTAAAAAAACAGTAGATCATAGTTAAATAAAACTGTACCCAGGATAACCCTAATTTCCATATGCAGATTTATCTACACTGACAGCCACCCCCCTTACACACACACACTCTCTTTCTCATTCTCCTTTCCCTCCTCTCCATCTCCCTATTGCATTGTGTCTGACTGATTTTCAGAGCACCTTCGCTGTTTCCCCCTTCTCGTTCCCTTCCCATAAAATATCTAGACAGGAAGGAGGTGGCTGCAGAGGCTGAACAATCTCATATTCTGCCTGCAATGTCATCGTTTCTTTCCCCCATTTTAGGGGGATGAAGTTGCCCAGCAAGGGTTGCAGAGAACCTGGAAAGGAAGGGGGGAGCTCTCCAGAGGCAGCTGCGGTCAGGGGCAGGGACTGCCGCCAGATGTGCCTGCCTTTCTGAGCTTTGATGAGAAAGGGGCAGCAGGAGGAAATATTGGGAGACAAAAGCCCCGGTTTAAATGATCATTTTCTTTATTTAACATGGCAGCAGACACTCTCTGCGTAGGATCATCATGCCGAGCATAAACTGGACTTTCCCACTTGCCTGGCAGGAGTCAGACAGATCCCTGTGTGCTAAATGAGCATCTGAGGTAAGACCCACTGTTTTCAGATACTTGCCTTTTTCCTAATCAATTAATTTCTTAAATATATGTTTCAGCTTCAACCACCAACAGTATAGTGGGGGCAAATCTGTGTTAATGTGTATCTAAAAAGCCAAGATAAAGCAGAGGTATAATAGATTCAAGTCAATTTGGGGAGGTTAGTTACTTTGTCAATTCTGTGTATGTTGTTTGTTTTTTAGGAAAAATATTTGGTTTAAGAATAAACTAGTGTCATCATAATCCACCACTGGTGATAATACTGATGTTCAGACTCTTAAAAAAACTTTGCAAAAAGACAGTGAGCTACAGATGCCTGTGCTGTATTTTTAGCTCACATACAAATATTAAAACTCTTATTAAAATGATAGGGTTTTTTTTTTTTTTTTTTTTTTTTTTTTTTTTTTTTTTTTTTTTTTTTTTTTTTTTTTTTTTTTTTTTTTTTTTTTTTTTTTTGCAGAGAAGGAATGAATGCTGCATAATTAAGTACAGTATTTAATTTGGCTGTTGTGAAGCAAAAGAATAAGGTAATAATTTTTATTGTACTAATCAGTCTCAAGATGTTCTCTGTGTTAATTGGGTTAAAAAAATTGCAGTACTTATTAGAAATTCTAATTTCACAATGCAGCACTGACAATAAGCTCAGCCAGTGAATTATTCACATCTTTAATTTGCTCACTTAATGACAGTGTTCTGTAATCAGAGTGCAGAGACTGCTGCCTATGCATTATGTATGATGCTCAGGACTTAAATGCAGGACATTATGAAGCTCTCAGTGGTTCAGTAATTAGTTTTCCACAAGACAGGATTTAGATATTCACAGATAAAAGTCCACAGTTGGATAATGCTAAGGTTGCAACACAAAATAACAAAGGAAAGGAAGCTCAAAGTTTAGACTGAAACTTTGTCTCTAGGGCCTTGTCCACCGTGGAAACAGAATCATGCCACCTGAAATAGTTGCCTAGCTCTGATCACATGTTTGAAAACTGTTTTTGAACAAAGTTGTAGCAGGCAAGGCATTTGAACAATTTCAGTGGACCAGAGGGGAAAGATAAAACCTTTTTAATTAGTGTTCACAGAAGCTCTGCAATATATCCTCCTAACAAGTCTGTAGTATGCATAGCAGGCATCCTCAATGTGCTTTGTAACTTAGTTAGTGCAAATGCAAATCAGGTTACAATAGTGTTTGGCTGTAATTGTGTTTGTAAAAGGGTTACATGCCCAAATGGAGATTGAGCTTGCTCATGGTTTTGTTCCAATTGCTTCTGAGGGAAGGTTTGAAAATCAAATGAGATATTAAGTAAATCTGGGCATGAAAGGCAGTAGATCCAAATTGTCAGCGCAACTTTGGAATTTCTTACACTTGTCAGTTTGGAGTTGTCAGTTTTTCCTTAATGATGCTAAGGTTGTTCTGTCATAATTATGTAACTTTAATGGATTACCCAGCCCATTAGCAGTACTTTAAAAATATATACTAGGTTTCAGAAAACATGTCACAGTATCATTTCTAAAGTTTAATAAGTAACTTGAAATCTTTAAGTGATTTTTAAAAAGAAGAACATGCTGCTTGGTAAATTGTATAGGGTATTTTTGAGAACTTAAATATTAATATTTACTAATAAAATCTCACTGCATTATCATTCATCAGTCTAAGATTTATGCTCATTTTCAAAATCCAGGAGTTAGAATGCTTAATAAAAATTGGTATCCAACATTGGAATACATAGTAATACTTTGTAAAAACCGTCTCTTAGAGGTTAGAGCATTTTCTACAAGAGAGTTGAGAAGCCTTATAAGCAAATGTAATATTTAGTAAACAAGGGTCAAATTTCTAAAAGTTACATTTACCATACATTTGAACATTTCAACAATTCTAAATTAAAAATTGTGTCACATCTCCAAATTTGACTTCTAATTTCTAGAACTAAAAAGTTACTTCAAGAAAAGAAAAAACTTTTTCATAAATGTTGAGGAAGCTATTGCCTGTGTGATATGTAGAACATATTTTCTGAAAATGGTGCTTGATTGGAGCAGAATTAGGATACTAGGCAGCTGAGTAGGTGACCTGGCTTTGACTTGGGTTTGGATCCAGGTTAGCATCCATGTATGGGTAACATGTGGCAATCCAATCATCAGGTGGTAGTGGTGCTGATGGTAGTTAAATAAAGTTCTTTTTTTTTCAAAAAGAAAGAAAGAAAGAAATGGTTGAGAATTAAGAAACTTGAGTTCTATTCCTGCTTTTGCCACAAAACAGCCATGGAGTTGTTACAGGTAGGAGTAAAGTTTTTTGAAGATTATACAGCACTAGATAAAAACAAGGCAGTTTTATTTAACATAAAACTAAATGTATTTCTTCGAACCTGTGTTATTCATTATAGCAGGTATTGCCATCCATTTGTAACACTCTATAATGCTAAAATGTCAAAATGTTCTCAAGCAAATCAATTTAAATTTAATTAAATAAAAAATAAGCCATGAGGGGAAAAAGTATTCTTAGGCATTTGGGGGTGAATAAGAGCATTTTGAAGTCTCATAAAATCAATTTGGTATTACCACTCCAAAAAGGTTAGCAATCATAATGCTTTAGAGGGTTCTTCTTCCCATAACTTAAGATACACTTGCATATTAATATTCTAAGAAGTCTTATGCATGAACTGTCTGCTAATTACTAAGATTTCAGCCATCTTTTTTATTATAGATTGTAAGAGTCATATTGAAATCATTTATACGACTAGAATTTTGGAGCTCTTTTCCTCACTAAAAGTCAATTGACATATCTATCAATCAATAATTGACTGATCAGCTGGGTGTGATGGCTCGCACCTATAATCCCAGCACTTTAAGAGACTGACATGAAAATGGAAAGCGAGCTGATCAGATGTGTGTTTCACTTGAGGCCAGGAGTTTGAGACCTGCCTGGCCAAAGTGGTGAAACACCAACTCTACTAAAAATATAAAAATTAGCCAGGCATGGGGTTGCACACCTGTAGTCCCAGTCATTCAGGAGGCTGAGGTAGGTAGGAAAATTGCTTAAACCTGGGAAGCGGAGGCTGCAGTGAGTCTATTGTGCCACTGCATTCTAGAAAACAGAGCAAGACTCCGTCTCAAAAAATCTTTTTTTAATTGACTATCTATGAATTATTTTTTTCAACACCTACTGAGCACTTATAATATTAACAAAAATAACATGGTTGGCTCTGTCACCTAGGCTGCAGTGCAGTGAGGCAATCTTGGCTCACTGCAACCTCTGCCTCCTGGGTTCAACAGATTCCCCTGCCCCAGCCTCCTGTGTACCTGGGATTACAGGTGTGCACCACCACACCTGGCTAATGTTTGTATTCTTTTAGTAGAGACAGGGTTTCACCATGTTGGCTAGGCTGGTCTTGAACTCCTGACTTCCTCTCATTCTTGAAAGGCCTTAATCCCTCTATTCCATGTGAGAAATTGAAGCCTAAACAAGTTAAGTAACTTGACAGCATGACACAGCTGGTGAGTGGAAGCTGGAATTGAACCAGCTTTAGGTACTCAATTTTCAAACAATAGACTATATTTTCACTTTTCAAGGCCTTCTGCTAAAGCTGAAAGAAGGTAGACTGATAGAGGTTCTTGTCTTCAAATTACTCACAGTGGTAATACTTGAATTTCTTTTACCTGGCTCAGTTGTTGGTCAAGATTCCTGCTCCTCATAGTGCAGCCCAGAGACCAGCAGCATTGGCATCATCCAGAACTACGCTTAGGTGCTTCTCAGACACTAATGTGGACTTTGAATCACCTGGGATCTCTTTATAACAAAGACTCTTATTCATTAGGTTTGAGATGGGGCCCAAGACGCTTTTCGGACAAGTTTCCTGGTGATGCAATATTGATGTTTGAGAAACCTCCATTTGGTGAGTTCTACAATTTGTCTTGTTTTTTAGTCAGACCCAGCATAACAGATTCCTCACTGAGTCGTAGCTTTCCTCCAATTCTGATGTTCTCTTGATCCAAATCGAAGAACTTTTACCTTGGCTTCTTGACTACCGCCCTCTCCTGCCTTGGGTCCCAACCAGGTAGCTATGGCCCAGAATGTCTGCTTAGCTCTAGGTTGTATCTTTCTTTCTTTCTTTCTTTTTTTTTGGAGGCAGAGTCTCACTCTGTTGCCCAGGCTGGAGTGCAGTGAGGCAATCTTGGCTCACTGGGTTCAAGAGATTCCCCTGCCTCAGCCTTCTGTGTACCTGGGATTACAGGCATGTACCACCATACCTGGCTAATTTTTGTATTCTTAATAGAGACAGTTTCACCATGTTGGCCAGGCTGGTCTCTAGCTCCTGACCTCAAATAATCCGCCTACCTCAGCCTCCCAAAGTGCTGGGATTACAGGCATTAGCCACCGTGCCCGGCCCTAGCTTAGACTTTCTTTTGTGGCTCTGAATTCACATTCCCAGTTACCAGTGATATTGTAACATCAGCCTGGTTGAGGATCTTCATTCCCTCTTCTTCATCAAAACCAACTGTGAAGCCTATTAAAAACCTGCAAGCCCTCTAGGTCTATAGCCATAAATTTTAATTCTGGGGCAAGTCTTTGGAATTTTTTTTTCTTGTACAAAGTTTTGTAGTTGATTCTGATGGGTGTCACATACTAAGAACAACTTCCCTAGAAGCCCCTGCTGTGCTCTGACCTGATGGGAACACCTTGGAAAGTAATATTGGCATGGCTTGGGCTCAAGTTTATAATATACAGAGAACCTTTTCTCTATGCCTCTATGTTAGCAATGGGAGCACAGCATGGAGAGAAGAGAACTTAAAATTTTACTGAACTACTTTCAGAAGGCTTTGCTGAGTGATTGGCGTTTGAATTGGATGGCCATTGAATGAACAGGTCCTTTGTTCAGGCCAAAGGAGTAGCATATGCAACGACAGATAAAAGTGAGAAGTGGGCCGGGCGCGGTGGCTCAAGCCTGTAATCCCAGCACTATGGGAGGCCGAGGCGGGTGGATCACGAGGTCAAGAGC